AGATGGCAACAGTACTATTAGCAATTAAGGATGCGTGCGGGCGTGTATATGTATGTACGTGTGTTTGTGCGTTTATTTGACCTGAAAAAAATGCATGAATATCTGTTAGTTGAAAACGATGTTCATATAACCTTAACTTTCTATATGAAAATTCCAAAGACAGACACACAGACACACACGCACGCACCCCCCCCCCCCCACACGCACATCTACACCCACCCACACATACACACGCGCACACACACACACACACACACACACACACACACACACACACACACACACACACACACACACACACACACACACACACACACCTTAAAAACGCGCGTGTATACTCATACGTTCGTGACTAACCTCACTTCGCACCTGCACCCTATAATTTCAATTTCCTCTTCCTAGCAGTAGGTAATGACATGCTAACAGCCAATAAACCCAGGTAAGCACGCGTACGTCGAGGCACTGCCGTATTTTACAGAATGAGGAAGGAGAAAGAAAGCGGTATGATAAACGAGGCATGAAAGGGAGATACAATAGAAGGGATTCATGAATACTATAATAATACACAGTCACTCATACAAGCGATGTATAGATATCTATATCTATATCTTGTTAGTTTTCTTCTTATCTATCTATCTATACACACACATACATACATGCATGAGACACACACACACATGTATATACAGACATATATAAATTCACACACACACACACACACACACATTTATATATACCTATATATAAATTCACACACACACACACACACTCACATTTATATATACCTATATATAAATTCACACACACACACGCACATGTATATACACACATATAAATTCACACTCACACACACCCATATAACATCGACGAATTAGTAGCGCAGCCAGTGAGTGACGCGGCGCTGACACACACACTTGCTGAGGTGGTAGAATCGCCGCCGTTGCTCTCATTTCTCGTATTTCCGTGTTTTGTCGTACCTGGCTACCCCCTCTCCCCTCCCCCCCCCCTTCCCTCTTCCTTCTCTCTTGTCACCTTCTCCCCCACTCTTCCCTCCTTTCCTTAAACCTCTCTTTCTTTATTTCTTCTCTCTTCCTTTCCTTAAACCTCTCTTATTATTTTCTCTTCTCTCTTTATTTCTTCTCTCTCTTCGTCTCTTTTCTTCCATTCCTTCTTTATTTCTTCTCTCTTTTCCTCTCCTCTCTATCTTCGTCTCTTTTCTTCCCTTCCTTCTTAATTTTTTCTCTCTCTTCCTCTTCTCTACTTCCATTTCTCCCCTCTCCCTCTCCTCTCACCTTTCCCCTCCTCCCATCTTTTACTTTCACCTCTCCCTCCTCTCCCACCTCCTTCTCCTCTTCTAAACTTCTTCCTTTTTCTCTTCTCCCTTCTCGCCTCCCCCTCCTACAAGAGAAACAGAGAAAAGAAGAGAGGAAATAAAGGAAAAGGAGGAAAAGGGAAGAGAAATGAACAGTAAAAGGGAAAAAAATAGCAAAGTAGTTAATAATTCCTGTGCATGTAGATAAATACACACACATATATACATATAAACATATTGATTCCTGGTAATGATAATAATGATTATTGTAATGATAATAGTAATAATAATAACAATAATAACAACAAGAATTATAATGTAAATAATGGTAACAAAAATGATAAAATTTTCAATCATGTTAATAACAATAATGATATAGAAATAATAACAATAACAGTAACAATAGTAATAATGATAAAAATGATAATAATAATGAAAATGAAAACAATAATGATAATGACAATAATAATAACAATGATAATAATAATGATAGTAATAATGATAATAATAATAATAATAATAATGACGATGATGATGATGATGATGATGATGATGATGATGATGATGATGATGATGATGATGATGATGATGATGATAATAATTATTATTATAATAATAATAATAACAATAATAATAATAATAATAATAATAATGATAATAATAATATAATAATATAATAATAATAATAATAATAATAATAATAATAATAATAATAATAATATAATAATAATAATAATAATAATAATAATAATAATAATAATAAAAAGATATAATGATAATAATACTAATACTAATAAAGATGATGATAATAATGATAATGATAATAGTAAAGATAATAATAATACTGACAATAATGGTGATGATAATGATAATGATAGTAATAAAAAAAATAATGATGATGATGATAATAAAGATAATAGTAATAATGAGGATAATAACAATGATATATAATAATAATAATAATAATAATAATAATAATAATAATAATAATGATAAAAAAAATAATAACAATAATAATAATAATGCCTCTTATAGATAACAATAATAATATAGTAACAATAATGATAGCAATCAAAATAAATAAAAACAAAAAATAATAACAATAATAATAATGATAATGATCATAACAATGTTAATTATCATAATGATGATGATAATAGCAACAGCAATAATAACGATAATAGTAATAATTACAAAACATATGATAATGATAATTATGATAATACTATAATACTAATAATAATGATAACAATAATAATAATGAAAATAATAACATTAATAGTAATGATGATAACAACAACAATGATAATCATGACTATAACAATAAAATAATTATGATAATGATAATTATGATAATAACAATAATGATAATGATGATTATGATAATAACAATAATGATAATGATGATTATGATAATAACAATAATGATAATGATGATTATGATAATAACATGACTATAACAATAAAATAATTATGATAATGATAATTATGATAATAACAATAATGATAATGATGATTATGATAACAATAACGATATCAACAACAATAACAACAAATATGAATATAATAATGATAATGATATTACCACTGATGATGATAATGATAACAACAATAATAATAGTAATGATAATAACAATAATGGTCATAACAATGGCAGCATTTTAATACCTATACAGACAACGACAAAAACGATAACGGAAATCATTCACATATATATAGGTACTATGGAACTAATAGCGGAACTGATAAAAGAGCAGGAATAATAACGACATAATTTGCGATAATAACAGCAATATCAATAAGAATAATGACCAAGCTATTAGTGGGCATATATTCATTAAGGCCAAGAGTAACTATGACATTGATGACTCTGGTATCAACAAAGATAATAATTACAATAGTGTATAATGTATACATACAAAATAAATAACGAAAGAATATAATTTAGATATATATAAATCAACACGATCTATTCATACAAAATATACGTTGATGTTCACAATTAAGGAGTTTCTACATTAATTAACAAATAAAAAAATGGCTTAGGACTATATTTCCACCATCTGTTGCCATGTTCTTGGGCCGCGAGTTAAATCCAAAATTGATGGCGCTTTGCGGCTTATCCTACTTTCTTCGCTTCTCTTATTTTGTTTTTATGCGCGTCTATGGGTTTGTCTCTCTCTCTCTCTCTTTTTTTTTTTTTTTTTTTTTTTTTTTTTTTTTTTTTTTGGGGGGTTGTCTCTCTCTCTCTCTTTTTCTTTTTTTTAGGGGGGGAGGGTGGAGTGGTGGAGGGGGGTAAATGTCTCTCGCTAGACCTTATTCTTTGATTTCTCTTTATTTTAATTTTTTTATATTACGCTTTCTTTGCTTTTTTGTTTCTGTCTGTCTCTTTTCGTTTTTGCAAAGGGGGGGGGGGGTGTCAGGTGTCTCTATGTCTGTCACCTGTCTCTCTCTACGTTCCCCTTTTCACTCTGGCAACATATATATCACATCAAAGTGAAAGTCTCTCATGCACACACACACAAACATTCTCTCTCTCTCTCTCTCTCTCTCTGTATAATATATATATATATATATATATATATATATATATATATATATATATATATATATATATATATATATATAATATATATATATATATATATATATATATATATATATATATATATATATATATATATATATATATATGTATATATATATATATATATATATATATATATATTATATATATATATATATATATATATATATATATATATATATATATATATACATACATATATACATATATACATATACACATATACATATACATACATGTTCACATACAGGCATACATAGGAAAAAAAGAAAAAGAAAAAAAAAAAAAAAAGAAAAAGAAAGAGAAAAAATATATAAAGAGAGAAAGAGAGAGTGACACACACACACACACACACACACACACACACACACACACATACGCACACACACACACTACAGACAGACGCACACATTGTATACTTATGTATATACATACATGTTTTTCCACGACTGGAATGCCAAAGCCACCTGATGAGCAGCAGTATTTGCAAGGACACCCACACGCCATCAAGTCAAGTCACTCAATCACACACACAAACATAAATAAAATAACAAAGTCTTCCCTGCTTAACAAAAAGAAAATGACGCAAAAAGTTAGCCTGGCATCGCTATATAAAAAATAGATCAAACATAAAAATGTCACTCTGATTTAGGGAACTTTACGAAAAGTATCATCACTGAATATATATTACTTCTTGTAATTATTTGTTACAAAGCATTACCCACTGGAATATTGAGATCATGACGTCATCACTGAGATGTGACGACCGTTACAGCATCACAGAATTTCGAATTATTGTGTCACTTGTTCGAATGCGTCACCAAACGTTACGGTTAGTGAAAGACGATTCACCTTCGTCAGCTGATGACTGGGCGAAAACGAACACATACATGAACACGCACACAACGCACACACGTGTACGGAAATACACGTATTTGATTGTGTGTTTATTCATGATAGAGAAACAGACATATTGACATTTATAATCGAATAGCCACAATCGACATTGAACGTATATTTAGATAATAGTGATGATGATGGTAATGATGATGATGATGATGGTAATAATGAAACTAATACTAATAATAATGCTGATGATAA